TTATAATTTTTATTCTATTTTTATTATTTTAGTATTAAAAAATTTATGTTTAATTTTTACTCATATTTTATGACTATTATAGTTTTGGCCTGCCCCTGTTCCTAGATGTCGATCCTGATTCAAACGATAAAATTATACATACTATACCATGCCATTATAATAAAACCAATGAAACCAATAAATTATGTTGAATAATTGAGTATAAAATATTCATAAATATTATGTACTAGTATTAGATTTCAACTTATTTTTACTCACGATAGCTCATGGTGAAGTTTATTATATATTTCATACATGATTGCTGTGCATAATTTATTATTTACTTAAGCTCGTTAGTTGGTACATATACTCAATCTAATACTGTGAATAAGTAATTGCTTCATAATACTCATTAAGTGAGATGTGTTGAAAAAAATATGAGATGATCAGGTAAATGATAAATTTCCTTCCTTAATCGCGAAGTTAAATTACATAATTAAATATGTGTATACATTGGATGTTATAATTTAAGTATTTCCCCTTCCATACCCCAATAAGACTACAAAGAACACTTTGTTTAATAAATGTTAAAAAACATAATATTTGCTTTTTAAACAACTTTTTTTTTGCAAAATAAATACACATGCATCCATACCAATATACCTACACAAAAACTGTAAAAGTGATTTATTTCAAATGAAACAAATACATTTGGGTCAATTGGTATTTTAATATTGTTCTTTTTTATGTAAAATATTTGTATGTATGTGAAATGTATATACAATGTATGTATACATGGGTTTTCATTAGTTTATGTATCAGTTAAGTACTCTTACTATTTGTATATTTTTTATAACAATGGTATTCGCATTGTTTATTTCTTATTTGTTAAAATAATATCGATTCTCAAATATCAATCTATAATTTAAAATAATCAGTCATAAAAACATAGTAATAACATTGTTTTCAAAATCATTAATAAATATTGATACTAGACTCCTTGGTTTTTTTTCAAATCATCATTCGTATTTAAAATCAATGGTTGAAATGGTTCAAGGATACTTCTATGATATATTACCCATATAAACTTCAAGCATCTTTTATAAAAATAACTCATCCCACTAACTTGTTTTATATAACTATACAATCTTAAAATCGATGTATGTTTTATAATATGGTAAAAGCAATTTGCTATTAAAATTGTATTAATAATGAATGATGCACTTGGTTTTTGTGGTATACGTGTCGGACGTACATGTAGGTGAACTTTTTATATAATAAGTAAACATAAGAAAAGTGAAACTCAATAACTATACGTTAGTATATGGGTCTTTGCATTTTATTATTTCTTTTATATTTGCAAAATATTTTTCGGTACATATTTTATTTTAACTGACGCGCTGTGAGCTTCAATTTTTTTTCAATCAACAAAATACATTCTTGCAAAATTTCAAATCCCTTTGCGGATTGTACAATATCGTTTTTTCTAAAATAATGAACCAATACATGGCATTCACATACAGATACAAAAAGGTATTTATTAATTATATAGTCGTATATATTTCGAGGGTTTCCGTAAATATTAACCGCGATATTATATAATGAAACCGTTTAGTTACTCGAGCGTGAGAGCGGATGGCCTTCATCGGACATACTATAGGTTCGTCCTAGAGTTTCGTTAAATACCACGGTGAAATTTCACTGGTGCAAACGGGGTTTCTGGGCGAGATTATGAGAATAGGGTTCGTCAACGGGCATTAATAACAATCCCTCATTGACAACACGCTAGAATTCTTAAACGTCACCTAACCAAGTGAATACGATAATTGGATTTAATTTTATTAATTTTTTCACAACCCATCGGGCAAAACGTGGACAGTTTACAATATTCTAATCGACCGACAACCTTACTTCCGATAATCTTCAACGGTTTCGATTCATTCTTTCGTTCGGTCATCAACAGACAAGGCTATATAAACCAATATAACTTATGCATAAAAATATATATTATACAAACGATCAAATTAATTGCCGGTACATAATATATTGAATTTTCGTGAATCGTAGTCGTGCGATAAATACCAATACAATACAATAATCATCAGAACAACACTACAGATAATTCTAACGAAGAATACGTAATCAACTCTCCCAAGTATTTTCCGCGCTCAATAAATCACTAGTTATTTCATTTTTATTATGTTACTGTTGGCATTGAGTAAAAATCACGTGATACAATTAGCAATAAGTTATTGAAAAATCTTTTAGTGTGGCTATATAATTTACTAAAAAATTGCCAAGAACCTGTACAGCCAAAGCATTTCGGAAAACAAAAGAACCTTTTTAATCCTAAACTTTTAAGGTTGATTTGCTCGCAACAGATTTATAAATATCAGTTATTTTGTTTCTCACCAAATTATACTTTAACACCGTTTATAATAGTAAGAAAATAATTTTTTTTCTGCGACTCACGAATCGGCTTTCTAGCCATTCATGCGCTACTCTATTATAATACGAGTATACTGACGCGATGTGTAATATATTTCGTAGCGTCATATATCGATTAAACCGATATGTAGAATACAGGCTACCTTTTGTATTAGTTGGTTTATTATTCAAATCCTTATATTTAAATTACGTGCCTATCATACGACCGTCATTAAAACACGAATATTCATATTGCATAATTCCGGAATGGCATATTTTATATATTTTTATTAATGTTTGTTTGTCCTTCCCCGTCGTTCTGTAAACACCGTTCCATGCGCTTGTTCTGAAAACACTTGATTGCTTTTGGCGTTTTACGATTTTCATAAATTTTGATAAATATAAATCTCTTTAAAAACGAAAAACGTATTATACAATAACCTTATAAAAATATATACAAATGAGTATGCTACGTTATATACCTTTGCAATATTTATATAATTTTATTGTGAAATTTCATAAAATTATTATAAGCTTATGAAACTATTTAATTTTTGTATTTATTTACTTTTTTTATTTACCAAAAAATCTTAAACACAAAAAGTAGATCAGGTGTAACATTAATCATATTATAATATTAGTATATTTTTATATAAAATGAATTATGACTTTGAATAATACTCACCGATTCCGAATGCTTAAAGTTTTTAACACTTTTGTTACTGTTTTACCAACTGAAGACGAGTAATTTCAATTTTAAACTTTCGCTTAATATTTAAGAAGTTTTCGTGAAGTACAGCTCGAGTAATGTACGGCGAGAAAATAATATAATACAACTAACTTTTCACAGCGAATGAAGTTCATTAACATTTAAATTATTCTTGAAATAATATTATAAGAATAATATATACAAACATTATATACACCGTGAAAACTTTGCTACTCGTATCGCTGACCAGAAAAGACACGAAACAAAGGAAACGTTTCATTTTTTCTATTTTATTTTATTTTTTTATTTTGGAACTACATTTTTGTCACATATCGCTCAAGATTTCTGCAAAGGACAAAAACACGGCCCCTGAAAACACGAGGGATGACGAAGAAAATACTATTGTTTTCGTTACACCAAAATTCGAAAAAGAAAAAAAAATTATCCTATTTCGATCGTTTTCAATCTATGCACTACAACCAGTAATAAGTAATAAGTACTATTACAGGCATGTACGGTATACCCTCTAGACCAGCAGTCACCGAATGGTTAGGACCACGAAAAAATGTTATCCAACCCGCAGACAAGCAAACAAAAAAGTAAACATTAAATTTGTTAATATACACATTAGTTTTTACCGTCGGGAGCAAATATTATACTGGTCAACAGGCATATCTTATTACTCATACCTTGCTCTTTATCTCTTATGGCCGTATATAAAATGTACCGATCACACATCGACTCTGATCAGTCTAGTACCGCCGAACAGCATTCACATAGTTTTTGTTGTATATCGTTCTTACATATCTTGTGTGTTTTTTTTTTTTTTTTTTTTTATTCGACCGCGGATAAAAAAAGAAGAAAAGTTAAACTCAAAAACAAACAGTGTTTGCCCGAGTGGGTGGAATTATATTGTTTTAATTTACACCGGACCACTCAGGGGCCTTTTTCAGTTTCTTAGATTCGTCACTAGACAGTGTCTATTTATAATGTTTTCACACATTAAACATCATTATGAGACATAAAATGAATCGTTTGTCAAACATTTTTCGGATTATAATATAATTCTGATGAAAACGTTTACTTTAAATTTCGATGGTCCCCGGACGTTTTTGAAAATCCCAATGCAGCCCACCAAAAATATTGACTGGTGAACCTCGCGCTAGACGGTTGTATGTATATTGTAACTGTAATCCTATAAACGTTTGTGTACACAAGTTTTAACGGTGTGCGCGTAGTGTTTGATTTTTCGTTTACGTGTTCCTCGGAGAGGAGATGCACGAAAAATGGTCAAGATTTTCACTTCTCATTGTACGATTATACGTCCTCGAATTCGTAAATTGTTTCAAATGTATAATATTGTCACGCGCGTCAACGACGTTTAGCGAATCATTCCAGATGATTCCGCTTGATTTTCCACGACACACATGAGTAATTGGTGTGGCCGACAGATCGATCCGAAACGAACGGTTAAGCTCGGTTTCCCGAAACCCTTCGGGCCTTTTATACGACGCGTGCACGCATTTGTACGGCGATTAGAATCGGACTGTAAACGAAGTTTGACGAGACGTCGTATACCGTTGCTCAGAATCGAAACCGCTCGCGGTGCTCCGAAATGTACGAGTTCGCGTGACGCAATGCGACCCTGAATTTAAGGATAAAATAATAGTAAAAAACCGATCCTGCACGGGTTGACGGGCGGTGCATATCGATTATAACTCGATTCCGATCACGCGGAACAGATGTTTGGTCGTATGAAATATAGGTCACGCCGAGGGTTACGTAGTACCAAAAACTACCGACATGGGACGGGCTGCGGCGCGTCATATAACTCCCTAACTCGTGGTCGTGTTATACCAACAAAGTGATTGTTTTTCTTTCGCAGATTGTCCGACGACGGAGATGACGCCGGGGATTCCGATGATGGAGACGACGTCAATTACGCGATGGATGATGACGACGACGACGACGACGACGCGAGAGAGCGTGACGATAACCCCGGACGACCGTTGGACGGTGGTTCGATGGTCCCGGAAGAAGACTCGGTTACGGGGACGCCGCGATGCCGACGGGCCAAACGGCAACGGCGACGTCGCAGACGGCGGTCGGGCACGTTGCACGAGTCGATGCGCCGTCGTTTCGACGGCCACAACCATCACCACCTGACGCACCCGTACTACCATCATCACCACCATCACCACCACCATCACCACCATCACCATCACCAATCGCCGACGGGGTCGCATCACCGGGGGCGACCGACACGGGTCCGGAGCTTTCACGAGGACGAACTGCTCCGGCACCACCGGCCGGATCCCGCGTCGCCGACGGCGGCCCACAGCGGACCGAAGATCGTGGGCACGCTGCTGAAGCCCGAGTACCAACGGAAACCGGGGTTGGACGAGGAGATCTGCCTGCTGCCGCCGCCCCCGCGCCGGCCCCGGCGGCGGTGTTCCGCGTCCACGAGTAGCGGCGACACGACCGCCGCGGCGCCGTCCCCGCCGCCGGTGTCCGCGTCACGGCCGTGCACCGCGGCCGAACGGACGCCACCGCGGACGCCTCCTTCGCACGTTTCGACCCCGCAACAGCAGCAGCAGCAGCAGCACCAACAGCACCAAAAGCAGCGGCATGCCACCGTGACAGAATGGTCGACCACGTCCAACGCGACCACGACCGCGTTGGCGGCGGCCTGCGGCGATCAACCGTTGCGCCGTGCCATGACGCAGAAGCTGATACGCAAGCGGACGCCGTTGGCCGCCGTCAGCCAGCAATCGCCGCTCGTCCGGTACGGGTCCACGTTGGGGCTGCCGTCGTCGCGGAAACGGACGCAGCAGCAGCAACAGGTGCAGGCGCAAAAGTCCAACAGCGCAAGTCGGTCGAGCGTGATGATCCGCAACTCATACCGGCACGGCCGCATCATCCGGCTGGAGCAGAAGGCCACCAAGGTGCTGGGCGTGGTGTTCTTCACGTTCGTGTTCCTGTGGACGCCGTTCTTCGCACTCAACCTACTGCCGTCCGTGTGCCCCGACTGCGAGGCCAACACCAACAAGGGCCTCATCGACCTGGTCACGTGGCTGGGCTACGCCAGCTCCATGGTCAACCCGGTTTTCTACACCATTTTCAACAAGGTGTTCCGGCAGGCTTTCAAGCGTGTGCTCATGTGCAAGTACAGAGGCCGCAGCAAGAGGCACTCGTGGCCACCCCCGCCGGCCGCCAGGAAGGTCTGATGACCGTGACGGGCACCGCTTTTCCCGGACGCCCGATTCGCTGCTCTCCGCGTGGGGGGAGGAACTTTTCACCTTCCGAGTCTCCGCGCGTTTGTGTGTGTGTGTGTGTATGCTTTTTTTTTTTAGTTTTCCCCCGAATATACATGTGTTCGTGTTCGTACGCGGGTTCGCACTTGCAAATTAAACGGTCTTTCCCCCTGTCCTTTCGAGGCAGGTCAACAACACCTCTTTCGAAATATTATGCGATCGGGGACGAGGTAACGATGAACGTGAAACGCCCGGGAGAATAACGCACTGCGACTCGTGTGGTAAGTACGTGATTCCGAGCGCACGAAGGTTTGTCAATAATTTATTTAAGGTTTGAAGGCGTTGTGAATAGGCAATTTCATTACGTATACGCATCGGGTGTAATTTCTCGGTATGAGGGATAACGACCGTGTGCGTATGTCAAAACGTAAATTTAATTAATCACAATTAATCACAATTTGCTTGAAAATTATACAGACAATGTTTTTATCAGATTACGTTTTAAAAAATTTTAACCGAATATAATCTGACACGTAAAAAGCACGATCTCAATTCTGATCCGTATTCTATATAACCGTAGGTTGCCGAATCCTGTTCTGTAACTTGATGATGATAGTTATTTTAATTTTTGCTATCGTCGACATCGCATAAATTTGCTGTTCGTAAATTACTGAACGGCGTCGAGTGTTTTACATATTTTACCTGACGATAGTCAATGAACAGTCGTTTAAAATGATACACTGTACTTGTATGTACAGTTTTGTACTATTTGGACGTTCGAGTTATGTATGTATTTCTTTTTATCCCAATTTCTTTTTAACCTGGCTGGAATATTATTAGTATGTTATCGTTTTGGAATAAAGTTGTTCGTTTTTACGGCCGACCAACTTCGATGGCTAATGCGGTGGTGGGTAGATAAAATGTACGGGTATGACAAGGGTTCAAGGAGATCCGATAAAACGTATCAATCTCATGCTTATATATATATATATATATATATATATATATATATATATATACTCGTATATGTGTTTGTTCGGAATGAATATATCGTTTTAGAATATCAGGTTCTTTGGATATAAATTGTAAAATAAAACCTCTAAAAAAAAGCGGTTCTATACACTTTCATAAAATAATTAATCGTATTCAGAATGATTTATCGCCGTAGAAATGAACTAAAACATCACAAAAGAAGATTTTTATTTATTTTCTCCAAATTCAATTTAAGAACTGACAATCGTTTAAAATATATAAAACACATTACGTGCAACTAATTTATATATATATGTATAATGGGTGCAATTTATATAGCCAACTTCATAATATTTTATATATTAATTGAAAAGTACTTAGGGAACTGAGTTAAAAAGTTAAGTTATTATCAACCTCTTGAGTCGACTGGTTCGTTTTATCAACCGTTAACTTACAATTGTATGGTCAGGTAATAACGTCCTTTTGAAGTTTATCTAATTAAAATAGGAATCTTACGGGGGACTGGGGTTTTTATTCGTATTTATCGTGTGTATACAATCCGCATGCGTTATCATAGCAAAGGGATAATTTGTGAGCGAAAAAATGTTTTTATAGCAGTTTAGTTTATATATTACAATAGTGCTTACCTGACTTGGATGAGTTAAGTTTTTAATCGACTTCTTTCTACACGCGCTCATTACAAGCCATTTTGGTTAATTGGACTCAATATGATTTTGCCCTGTTTCTGATGATATTTCACTTACCTACTCACGGTCGACCCGAAGTCGTACTACTACAGATTCTGGCGGAAGAATTACGAACAAATCGCGTATAATATTAAACGATATTATTGATGATGATGATGCATATATTGCGTAGACGTCTTGTGCAACAGAAAATGTTTGAAAATTTGCTCCGCAGAACCCATTACAATTCTACGACCTACGGTTTTCGTACGGAATTTTAAACGCGTCAACGTGTTTGCAAAACCACGTGTCAAGTTTTCAGTAATTTCATGATAATACGATAATATCCAGTTGGAATGCGTGTGTAGCCCCATACAGAATAAAGGACCGAATAAAACGTTATATTCTTCTCCGAATTACCTAACCATAAGTGGGTATGTGTGTATATGTGTTACGTGTACGTCCGTTTTTTTTTTTTGTATATTTTTTAAATTTATTCATTGTAGTATGCTCCAATCAGGAAACCACTACAGATTATTATAAAAATTTGTTTTCGGTCCGCACCTCGTACGTATATTATGACCGTATATGCAATTGTAGCATTATAATTGTTTTTCTTTTATCCTATGAACCACATCTCTACATTACGTTCAACAAATAATATTGAATAATAATTATTAAGCCGTGTGGCGTTGAGAATTTTCTCACTTACTGATCGCATTTCGTATCGCATAATACGCCTAGCATCGTGTACGTATATAATAATCAGTTATGTGTAAATCGCAACTGTAAGTGTTCTCATAATTTATTGATCCAATAAAATTCTGACAACAATAGTATATTTTTGAGTACGGTTTTAATTTAATCGTTGTACCGATATTCCTCGCTCAACTTCTACTTTCTAGACCATGAACATATTTTAAGAAGATCAATTTACTTAACACTCGCTCCACCTTTGGAATACAATTATAAATTTTTTATATCCGATTTTGATCATGTTTCATTTTAAGGAATATTTAGATTCATTTATTTCTATAATATGCTTATCAGAATTTATTAACATCAGTACTTCATACAATAGTAAAAAATAACGTATAAATATTAATACTGTTAACATCTTATCAAATTTAAATATATTTTTACTTTATAGTACAGATTCTAGTCAACATAAGATCTTCGATTTTTTTATTGGTCAACAAAATATCTGTAGAGAAATTTCATTAAAGCGCTCGACACGTTGCTTTTCAATCAAACCCATATGTACTTTGAAATAGTAATTTTCCAATTGTTTTCTAAAAAGTTATAAAATATATTAAAAAAAAATAATGCAAAACTAACATTAGGTTATAGGATATATTTTTACTGAAATTACGCATCCTTGGCAACGGTTTCGAGCAGTAATGAAACAATATGTCTGCATATCTTTGTTCTTATGCACCAATTTTCCTAAACGGTCGTCCTTCAGCCACGGGTATTCGGTCATTATTTTATTGGAACATTCCCTAATGCGACTTTCCGACCAAATTATAATTATATGTAAACAAAATATACTTTAATCATTACGCGATAAGTGTGTAACAGTTGCGGTTTAAAAATCTGCAACCGTTGATTCTTAAACAAGTCAAATATGATGCTAGATAGTTTAGAATTTTCTATAATTATGTTTAATTTTAATTTTATAATACTGTTAAAGCTTTCATTGGTATTACGTTTATGGTGTACGATAGTAAATACAACTTATATTTATGTTCATATTGTATATTTACGCATGGTATATAATGTAATTAGATCGAAAACGCTGTTAATATCATGTCATTTAAAAATATTGCGTTGTATTATTTGGTATTTCTACGCAGGTAATTATAATTTTAACTCCGACCCCCATGAACCTATATGTGTCCATACAAATTGTATGTATTTATTAGAATATATTAATAATAATATTATCCAATAGTTTAATGATTACATTTTTATGAAACGATTTTTTTTTCTACTCGTATACATCGTTATTTTACTAAAAATAACCTGTTTGGTTCTATTCTTCAATATGTATTTACAATAATAATATAATATACGTGATATGTACTCGCTGTATACGCGGTGAACGATTTACGAAGCGTAATAATTCTAAAGGTATATTGAAAAAAACTCATCCTAAAACTTTGATTTAATTGTGCGGAAAATTGTTTTGAGTACGTTTCTGCAGAAAAAAAAATAATGCTAATAATAATAGTAATAACTAAAAAAAAATAATCATTATGTTTGGTTATTATCAACAAAAAAATATATACATGTATAAATATAAGACATTAATTTAGTTGATTCCAAAACAAATCGTATGTTTATAAATAATAAATTATTATCATAATAATAAGATTTATATATACATATTTGTTGTACCCCCTCCTCATTTACACGAAATATCATATATATTTAGATTAGTTTCAAAATATGTTTTATTAATTAACGTATACGACGGGATGAAATTTATTATAAAATAAAAGTCAAAATAATATTTAATGTTGTTTGTTTGTTATTTTTCTACACCTTTATACCCAAGGTGACCGTAATAACCCTTCCATATACGTATAGTGTACAATACAGGTAACTGCGGCGGCAAAACGATAAAATTGCTTTCTATAAAACGAATAATTTTGCGTTTAATACGATTACTGAAGTCAAAAGTTGTACTCGGTGTATAATATCTTCTTTATGGAAGCAGTTTGTTTTTTAATTAAAAGTTAGTAAAACGAAAGTAATATTGCGCGTTTCAGCTTTTCGTGAACAGCAATTTATCCGTTGTAAGCAAATATGAACCAGTGGTACAATTTTCGTACCGACGAAACATATTTAACAGCGATACGAAATAAAACGCGTGTAGGAGTATATGAGTACCTGTATATCAGTAGTGCAGCCGCGGTATCACGTGCCCATTCCAGTCTTACAGTGAACCTATGCCAAAAATAATATTAAATAAAATACAAATGTTTACCCCTGTCAAAGCGATTTCATCAATATCCTATTTTGCGTTTCTGTACATACATAGGTATCGTTCATTGTACAACCTATCGTGAAGATTTTATAATACGTTGTTATAACAATGTTGTGTAATGCAAGAAAAAAAAAAAAAAGAAAAATAGTAAAAAAAAAAAAAAGTGTACGTACTCGATTGATGACGTAACTGAAAAACAAGCTTGTTTTAATCTACGTCGTGTAGTTCTAGAAGAACTGTGACGTTTCGGATAAAATTAAAAACGAGCGTATTCCAATGATGACGGCTGGTATGCAGGGCTGGTGAGAACTTTCCAAGGCTCCGGGGCCCCTTTTACTTGCACTTGTTTCACTTACGTATACGAACTACTCGTACATATTTTACGTTCAATAAGAATATTCCATAAAAGGCTACAAGACGACGGGCCCCGGGGCTCTAGCCCTCCCAGCCCCACCCTCTCGCCGGCCCTGCTGGTATGCGTAACATGGATCACCGGGGCAGCGGATCGCGAGTCGGGGCCCGTGGAATGTTGTGATTTTATCACTTGTTTATTTATACTTAATCACTTGTTTAAGGTTAAGTGTAGATGAGAGATGAAGAAGAAGGAACGTACCGGTCATACTTGAGAGATCGTACGATATTGTGTTACGAGAGAAAAATCAGAAATACGGTGCCGAGAAAGGCGTTACGCTCGCACTGAATACGTATAATGCAAAAAAACACGAAAACCGTAACAGAAACGACGGTAGTACAGTGATCCGGTCAACAATAGGTTTAAAAACCATCTCCTTATCCTATTTTTATATACATAATCTAACCTACCCATACCTAACCTTTTGACGCGGACCGCACGGAAATGGTTATTGCAACGGCTGTCGGCAGCCGCGTTTATTATTTTCTGCCCTGGAACGGTCGCGACGACGTCGAACACGCACCGCCATCCCGAGTCTGGGTCTGTGTTTCGCGATTTCCACAACCATAACCTCGCCTTGTGCATTGATCACGAAAATCCTTTTTTTTTGTCATTTTCCCGTTTGAGTGTTCATCATAATACATGTTAACCAGCTACCAGAACATGGTTGAAAATATCGTTATTTTCATCATTTCATTTGATCGCCATCATATTGTGTTGTGTTGTGCGTTCCACATCAGACGCGTTCCCCAATACTTTGAGCATGTCGAAACAACTATTTTACATTTTGGATTAATATTATTTATATTCATTTTGGCTACTAAGCAAATTAATCGTTTTATAATTTACATTTTATAATAATATTATTTTTATTCCTATTGGCAAACAAGCGATGTAATGATTTTATATTTAATATTGATATTTTTTATTTTATAAAATCATATTAATCTAGAATGATATACAGATAAGTTAATTTTATTATTGGTTCTTCGAGCAACGGAAAGATTTGAGACTCTCCCTTGTTCTCGAGCTACTTTTTGGCACTGTGCAATTCTTTCTAAGTATAAAAAGGGGTGCAATACCATTCCTAACCTAGCCTTTCTAATTTCGAGTCATTATTTTTTTCTCATAAACACGTCCGGGACAAACTCAATTTTCTTCGTCGGGTATATTTATATACTTGGACTACAATTTGGCACCGTATTGGAGGACAACAAAAGTTCTGCGATACGTCAGGGAAAACCTGTCTGATTATTTTTAATCGACTCGTTTCGAAATTAATAATAATTTGAGTGCTTATTGAGATATTTATTTGAGATTGGTGACGTGGGTGCTTTTGTATACAGGAGATTTTATGTCGAGGAAAAACACCACTATAATATTAGTGGTCGTTATCAACATTGTTGACGAAACTAACCATAAGTATAACAATAAGTATTTATGATACAACTGTCGTAGTGACAGCAAGTACTTAAAAAGAAAATAACAAGAAATATTTATTATACCATATCTTAGTGATAGTAATTAATAAAATAAAATAACAAAAAATGAATAAAAATCAGTAGTTAATATATCATGCCGCAGTGACAGTGAAAATATAAGAGAGAATAATAATAATATAAAATTACTAGTATACCTGTTACAATGACAATTTTGATAGAAACAGTACGCTCCGCAGAAACGACGAATCGACGGGAAAAGAAAACTATCAAGCGGTTTGACACCTGATGCAATGCTAGAATAACTCCAAGTATTGCCCCATTGGGTGGAATAAGTGAACGAGCGATGCAATGCCGGAATTACTCTGACTATTACACATATTATTCACACATTGATCGGTTGGCAAAACCACTCGATCAGTTTTGAGGAGAGACCTTCTTTCCTAGTCGTGCAAGTCGCCTCGGGTAGGTCTTAATCTGATTTCGGAAAGAAGGTAAATAGTAACTTTCGTCGAGTCACCGGGGCTTTTATATCCACTGGATCGGCGGTATCGATAAATAAATGTAACTATTGAATTTAAATAATAAGAGCAGCATTAATAACTCTTTCAGGTAAATCCAAATTTTAAAATAAGTATACATTTTAATTATGATCTGCATTTATTTACGGCAGTATCGATAAACGAAAAATTGGTTAAGTTATAAAAATATTATTAATAACAATTGGACGATAGTCATATTTTAATAATTATCTGCGTACATATAAACGCAAATTTATGATGAGAACGTTAATTATGAAAATATTTGGTGGTTGTAATAATAATCTGCATATATATATAAACACAAATTTATAATCATAAACATATTTGGAGATTTGATAATCATATTGTAGTAATAACCAGCGTTTATAGAAATGCAAATATAAAATAAAACATAATATAAAATTTGGCGCAAACAAACATTATCTGCATAATATTTGAAAATTATCGCGTTGAGAACGTAAAATTAATCAAAATAATAATAACAAAAAAAAAAAAAGCCAAAAACAATATTTAATTCTTATTAAAATTAAAATATTGCGTCAGTTCCATAACATCACATGGAAATGATAATCTAGGAGTCAGTATTTAAATAAAAATTATTTTACTTGGGTTTAAATATTCCAAATAATCGGTTATATTTGCTAAGTTATTTTCAGATATAATTAGTATTTAGAGTATTTGTGTACATTTGAGAGGGTTAAAACCATAATGGTGTAAGTCACCATTCAGTAAAAATTGAGTTATGTACTCGTATTGTAGGCGTATCTGTAAAAGTCAATTAATTGAATGGCAAAGTGAAGTAATATTGTTGTGCCATCTGGTGGTAGATGGTACGAGTTACGACTTAATTCACTTTGACATTCAATAAATTAACTTTTACAGACACGCCTACAGTACATAGTATATGTATTCTAAAATAAGTAATAAAAAATTAAAATTAGTATACATAGTACATAGTAGATCAATTTTTACGGAATTATGACTTACACCAATATAGGTTTAATCCACTCAAACATGTCACTTGCAGTCACGAAAAAATGATATAATGAATATTTATTTTTTATTATTTTTAGAAATAAACTAATTTAATTCTGACTAAAATAATTACTGATAGGTATTATACTGTACGATAAGTATTAATTTAGATGATATTATAGTAAAAATCCGAATATCTACTCATGCAATCTCAGGTACGAACAAAATAAAAGAAATTATACGACTAACGAAAATTATTTTGATGTTTTTTTAACTATGTAATGTGACTCGAGGTTTTATAAAATTATTTTCCTATTAAATGTAATAATAGTATATTACAACATGATAATTATTGTTATTTTTTAACATAAATCTATTGATTAACAAGAATTACCTGACATTTAAAGTTCACAATTTGATATTCTTTAACGCTAAGTTTTTTAATTTTGTAAAATATATGACTTGTACACACCATATACTTTGAACTAATTTTCGCGCGTGGACTATATTGTATTTTTAATTTTTATCCAAGAGGAAATAATTGAAAAATACATGACACCATTTTTTTTTTTTTTACATTATCCTAACTTTTCACCAAG